CTGAACATCCTACAGTATTTTTAAAGTCATTATTTTACAGTTAAAGTATATGTTTATCATATAAAGTCTGTTACAACGAATCGGGGATCCCTTTAACTCCTGACTGCACAGAAACAGTGATTGATTCACTAATAAAACTTCATAAATTCAAAAAGCTGCACATGAACGTGTTTAATTACCAGTAGTTGTCTCTTCCTTTAAAAAGGAACAATAGTAGTTTTTTTTCATCAAACCTGCAGCGTTCAGTTTGCTTCACATGCTGCATTAAATGAAACTGGACTGCAGGGCTTTCTGCAGTTAAAAATTGATTTTATTAGTGCAAAAAAGTGTGAGCTGTAATCCAACCGGACAAAAGAAGCTGCTGCGTTCTCATCGCTGAGGAAAACCAAACAAAGGCAAACGTTTCAGCTCGTCTCACTCTGTGTTTTTATTGCTTCACTGGACTCTTGCTCACTCGTATTAATTCCAATTCTCTACCATAATCTAATTCTGTCCCCGTGTATGGATTGTTTTTAATGTATTTGTGTCCTCCTGTCCTGTGTGGCTGCAGGTGGAGCTGGAGCGAGGGAAGATCCTCCACATCAAGGCTCTGGCTCTGGGAGACCTGAACAAGGCTGGTCAGAGGGAGGTCTTCTTCGAGCTGAACGGGCAGCTCCGATCAGTTCTGGTTAAAGACACAGTGGCCATGAAGGTACATGAACGACTCGTTTATGATCATCAAACTGACAAATGACCCACTGCTGAACCACAACATGCTGAGTCAGCTCACWACTGATTCATGGTTTCAACAGGAGACAGGACGCATTAATAACAACAACTCTTTGTTGTTTTTATTTTCAGGAAATGAAGTTCCACCCCAAGGCTCAGAAGTCCATTAAGGGTCAGGTTGGAGCTCCGATGCCTGGAAAAGTTCTGGAGGTCAAGGTTAAAGTTGGATCTAAGGTCAGTTTATTCAGCCTGGATTCTGTTGCTTTGGGTGAAACTTTAGCTTTGATCCCTAAATGAAACGATTCAAACAGCTAAACAATCAGATTTACACAACAAAGCTGTTTTTAATTTGTTAAAAACAATTTGATTCTGTATTTGAAGTCAGTGAAATTTAATTTTAATCAGTTTAATAAGGTAAAAGGTTTATGAATAGTTAATATCTTACCTGTTGCAGATGGCTCTTTGAATCTTTGAACGACCTCAGTTTGTAGCAATAGTTTAACTGGATTTATGAGCTAATGGCAGCTCTGAGCAGGAAAAAAAAAGACCAAAGTGAATCTCTGTCATGGGACCTGAGCWTGTAGTTGCTGTCAAATTTCCCGTATAGCTGCTGGTTAGAGGTCGACTGATATTTTGGGCTGATATTTATTTTTTCTTGAATCAGCAGCAACCAAAGCAAGAAAAGCAAACAATCTTAAGGTTATGTATATTCTTTATAGAATATTTAAATGTTCTACATTGTTTGCATCTATTTTAATAAATGTATCATTTCTTTTTAATTTGAGACTTGTGTAACATTTATCATTTTTCTCATGTAAATGGAAGAAAAAGTAACATCAGCTTCAGGAACTGGCAGCACACAGGGATCAGTTAAACTGACGTTAAAATAAAAACTTGTATCAGTCAATCTCTAYTGCTTATGACCTCAGACATTAAAGAAAAATATAAATTTTGAACATTAAGGACAGCAGAACAGATTACAGTTCAGTTCCTGTAATTAAGAAGTTGGTTCTTTTTAAATTAGTTTAAAATGTTCACTCCTAGTTTTGATATTTGATCAAATGCATTACAGTTGTTTGTTTGCAGAGGTGTRAAGTAACTAAGTACAAATACTTTGTTACTGTACTTAAGTAGAATTTTTGGGTATCTGTACTTGAGTAAATATTTTTCAGCCTACTGTTTACTTCTACTTCTTCTTACATTACCAACTTTTAAAAACTGTTACGGCCAGAGGTCTTTCTTCTATGTTTATACTAAAGCATGGAATGACATTCCTCAAAACATAAAGT